TTGACTCTTGAAAGACCATATACTGGACTTTCCAGATCTCTGTCTCTCTCTCTCTTTTTAAAATTAGATCTCAACTCCCTTCTACTTTTTCTGTTCCTTTTTTTTTTTTTTTTTTTTTTAATGATGCTGGAGATTGAACCCAGGGCTTTGTGCATGTGAGGCAAGCACTCTACCAACTGAGCTATACCCTTGGCCCTCTCTTCCTATTTTTGCAATAATATTTTCTTTTAAATGTCCTCATATTTTAGGTTTTGCTGACTTCCTCTGTGTAATCATTTTATATGTTCTTCTGGTAAATTGATGTAGAGCTTGGATAGATCCAGTTTTTTCCCAAGAGTATTACATCAAGAGTCACATGTCCGGGGCTGGGGATGTGGCTCAAGCAGTAGCATGTCGCCTGGCATGTGTGCAGCACAGGTTCGATCCTCAGCACCACATACCAACAAAGATGTTGTGTCCGCCGAGAACTAAAAAATAAATATTAAAAATTCTCTCTCTCTCTCCTCTCTCACTCTCTCTTAAAAAAAAAAAAGAGTCACATGTCCAGTGTGACATTTTTCATGATCATATTGTTGTAATGTGAGCAGCCCTTGATGACATTGACTCATCAAGAGATGCAAAATGGTATTCTTCCCCCCCGCCATTGTACTGGGTATTAAGCCTAGGGCCCCACGCATCCTAGAAAAGTAATGTCCCACTGAACTATATCCCCAGTCCTTAAAATTTTATTTTGAGACAGGGTCTCCCTAAGTTGCCCAGGCTGGCCTTGAGCTTGAAATACTCCTGCCTCAGCCTTCAGGGTACCTGGGTACAGGCCTGTGCCATCACATCTAACCTATAGTTGGATCTGGAATGTCACTAAAAGGTCCATGTGTTGAAGGGGTGGTCCTCAGAGTGGTACTATTGGCATGTGGTGGAACCCTTAGGAGGTGGGGCCTAGCAGAAAGTACTTAAGTCATCAGGGGTAAAAGAGACCCCAGCTTATTCCTTTCCATCTCTTTTTGCTCCCTGGTGATGAGGTGAGTGGTTTTGCTTTGCCACATGTTCCCACCATGATATACTGCCTTATCATAGGCCCAAAGTAATGGGGCCAAGTCATCATGTATTAAAACCTACAAAACTGTAGCCCAAATCAAACTTTTTTCTTCATAAGTTGATTATCTCAGGTATTTAGTTATAGTAACAGAAAAATGATGAATACAAATATGAATTTATTTGGAAATAGGGTCTTTGTAGGTGTCATGAGTTAAGATGAGGTCATATTGGAGTGGGGTGGGTCCTAAACCCAGTGGCTGTTGTCCTTATAAGTTGAGGAGAGGACACACAAACACAGGGAATTTGTCTATGTGAAGATAGAGGAAGGGATTGGAGTTATGCACTCACACAAACCAAAGGATGTCAAGGATTTCCAGCAATGCTAGAAGGTAGAAAGGGCAAAAGAAGATCTTCTCCTAGAGCCTTTAGAAGAACATGGCACTGACACCACCTTGATTTCAGACTGGTGGCCTCCCAAACTACAAAAGAATGAATTTCTGATATTTAAGCCACCTAGTCTGTGGTCATCTGTTACAGCATCCCTGGGAAACAAATGCAGGTACCATAGTGAGCTGCACATATTTGGTGCATTTCATTTTGCTGCAATTGGTATCTTTAGGGATGCTCAAATTGTCCTGTTCTTGGTCAGTGTGAGCCTCTTTCAGCTGGCTTCTGAGTCTTTCTGACACATCCCTTTTAGTCTTTGAGAACTTCCTTGCTATTTAGTGTGACAAGAAGGTCCGGGCTCTGCCTCAGATTTGGAATCTGTTAGTGAGATATGGTATTCAGAGACTCCAAGTAGCATTTGGCCACCAAAGGTGCTCATTGCTACTAGAGTAGTCACTATCCCTAGCACTATTCTTAGGGCTTTTCAGCGACTAGAGCTGGAAAACACACACTCTCTCTCTCTCTCTCTCTCTCTCTCTCTCTCTCTCTGTCTCTCTCTCTCTGATTTCATGCCATACATCCAATTCAGGATTACAGTGTTTGGGGTTTGTTTATTTGTGTGTGTGTGTGTGTGTGTGTGTGTGTGTGTGTGTGTGTGTGTTGTGGTACTTGAAATTGAACTTTGAACCTGGAGGCACTCTACCACTGAGCTATATCCCCAGCCCATTTAATTAATTAATTTTGGTACAGGGAACTGGACTCATGGCGTTTAACCACTGAGCCACATCCCCAACCCTTTTTACTAGGATCTTGTTGTTTAGGCCCTAAGTTGCTGAAGCTGGCCTCAAACCTGTGATCTTCTTGCCTCAACCTCTCAAGTTGCTGGTATTACAAGTGGGCACCACTGCACCCAGCTCATTTTATTTTTGAGGGTCTCAGTGAGTTGCCTATGCTTGCCTTGGACTTGCGATCTTCCTGCCTCATCCTCCCAAGTAGCTGGGATATAAGCATACCACCACATCAGGGTTTGGCTATACTGTTTTTATTGAATCTTGACAAGTTGGTATTGTTAATTTCTTTCTCCTATGTCAAAAATCCCTGTTCTCATTTATCAACAGGATTACTTGGTATAATACAAACACAAGATTTTCAGAATCATAACATATGATTACTGTAAACAGCTTAGAAATTTATCCTAGTTTTTCATTTCAGAGGATACAGTCAAATTACAGATTTTGTTGATCAAACCCAGGGCCTCATGCATGCTAGGCAAGTGCTCTATCGCTAGGCTACGTTGCTAATCCCAAACTATATTTAATGTTTCTTGGTATAGTTCCTCTTTGTGTGTAGTTAGGCTACTAACTGGATATACAGATTTTTCACTTGTTTTCATTTTGCTCTCAAAAATTAGTTTTGGGATGGGGATATAGCTCAGTTGGTAGAGTCCTTGCGCTGCATGCACAAGGCCCTGGGTTCGATCCCCAGCACCACATACACACACACACACACACTTTTTTTTTTTTAATTAAAGTTTTAATTATTTTTTTTTAGTTTTTATTTTTTGGTACTGGGAACTGAACCCAAGGCACTTTACCACTGAGATACTCCCCAGCTCTTTATTTTTATTTTTTTATTTTTGACACAGTGTCTCACGAAGTTGCTTAGGACCTCACTGAGTGCTAAGGCTGACCTCAAAACTTGCAATCCTCCTGTTTCAGCCTCCCAAGTTGCAGGGGGTTACAGACATACACCACCACACCTGAGAAAGTTTTAAGTTTAAAAATGTAATTTTGTTTCATAATGGTGTAAGACATTTGCATGATTCCAAAGTCAAATTCTACAAAACAAGGTATATCCAGAGAAGTATAATATTTATCTCCATATCATTTTTTTCAAATTTTCTTAATTTTAGTTGTAGATGGACGTAACAACTTTATTTTATTTAGTTTTTTTTTTTTTTAATGTGGTGCTGAAGACTGAACCTAGTGCCTCACACATGCTAGGCAAGTGCTCTGCCACTGAGCTATAGCCCCAGCCCCCTATCTCCATATCCTTTACCCTATTCCTTCTTCCTCTTACAGGTAAGCACTTAAAAGTAGAGTTATGATTTCTTCTTTCACTTAAAGAACAAACAAAAACACAAATATGTGTGTTCATACATATTTACGTGTGTGTCATGCACATGTGTATATATGTATGTTATATATCCTCCTTTTCTTAGGTAAGTAGTGGAATTCTGTGCATACTTTTCTCCCTTTGACCTTTTCCACATAACATTATGCATTCTTTGTACCTAACACTACCTAACACGGTGTCAACAATTCACATTGACCTTGATCTGTGACGTGTGATATGATGTGTGATATGATGCACCAAGGTACCTGGCAAGAGCCCTTTTGAGGGAGACTAGAAACTTGCACTTTGTCACAATGGTAACTGAACTCACATGTTTAAATCTACCCCACCCTTCCAGGAATATGCAAAGAATAGAAATTATTTTTGACCCCATGATCATGCATGTTCATCCCCCCCCCATGATCATGCATGTTCATCCCCTCTTCCTGAAGCATCATCACGTGCCCCTCCTCCTTCTTCAGGTTGCTTGTGGTCTGTGATTTAACTTTATTAATCATAATGAGTATTAATGGATCTACCAATTTGCATCCTGTCTAAGGGCTCAAGGACACTGAGAATAGCTACCACTTTCTGGGTGCCCTCTATCTGCCGGGAACTGTGCCTGACACTACAAACCTGATCTCATTTACTTCTCACAAACACCCTGTAGGATGAGTGTCCTTATCCTCATTTTATAGAATCAGGTCACAGAAGCACTAAGAAGTTGCTGAATCTGGAACCTAGTTTCTGTCTGCTTTTCACACCAACTAATTTCTACCTGAGACACAGCTTTGCTAGCAGGAGAGAAAACTGTAGGGAAAGCAGATGGATCCTGTTGATCAGTTGTTAATAGAATTATTCTCCATTAGCATCTTCTCATAATGCTTTGCGCCTCTGTGAAAATATTTTTCACACTGACTTATAATTAGTTCTATCTGTTCCTCAAATTATGATCAGCAGTGCCTTCCTAGAGACGCTTCATGAAGGACTGATTTGAATGCTGTTGTGAGCCTAGAGGAACTTACCAGCTGCACTGTAACTTGGAACCAGTTAACTCTGCTATATTTGACACTTGAAATCTTATTACCTTTTCTTTGTGTTCCCTTTGACATCTCAGGAATGTCTAATGATACCAGGCTTCCTATCCAGTTCAGTTTAGCTTTTTTGTTAATTCTGTGTGCTATTGTGTATGGCAACTAAAGCTCTTGTTAAAATGTCTTGTTGCTTCAGTGGCATTTAAAGAAATGAGTAACCAGGGAGGCATATATATATATATATATATATATATATATATATGTCTCACAAGGCCACACCTCATCTGGTCTTTCAACATAGTTCAGATTAATAGGACTGCCAGTTCTCTACCAGATTTTACAAGCCTGACAATAAATTTAGCTGATCCAAACCTGTTGACACACTGCCAAACTGATTTTGTGTCTTCTGGAAAATTTTTCTCCAAAGACTCCAGTCTTTAAAAATCTTTATTTGCCTGAAAGATTGCCTAAAGATTTTTCCATTTTGCTGTTTTTAAAGGGATCACTTGAAAAACAACGATAATTCAAGCAGCATGTTTTCTTCTGTGCTCAAAGATAGCATCCAATGTGCACTGAAAGAAAAAAAAATAGCTTACATAAAAAGGGAAATGAGTATTTTAATGTCAACCATAACCGTGCTAAAATGTAATGCTGGAAAAATAAGGGAAACTAAAGATTTGTGAATTTTTTGAAAAAATATTATTTTAATAATAAAGGTAGGGCTGGGGATGTGGCTCAAGCCGTAGCGCGCTCACCTGGCATGCGTGCGGCCCGGATTCGATCCTCAGCACCACATACAAACGAAGATGTTGTGTCCACCGAGAACTAAGAAAAAATAAATGTTAAAATTCTCTCTCTCTCTCTCTCTGTCCCCCTCTCTCTCTCACTCTCTCTTTAAAAAAGAAATATTTAAAAAAAAATAATAAAGGTAGCCCAAAAGGTAAAAACCCCAAAATATCTACTTAATATATTTCCCTGAAATGCAATGAATAGTAAATATAGACAATTATACAATAGACATTAAAATAACATTAAATATCAATACTAGAAACATTCTTTATGATTTGTAATCTTCCTCTTTGAAGTACAGGTACATAAATATTTAAGAGAATGATTTTGAATATGAATCCACTCGGGGACAAAGGATTTCAACATGAAATAAACTCATTTTTTACATTCTTACTTTCTACTGTGGCTTACTTAAAGGTTATTTCATCAAGGAAATTCTTTTTTCCACCCTTACCAAATCCTCAGACTTTCTCATCGGTTGGGCAGACGTATTATGACAAGAAATATTTTGTCAGAAACTAGAAGGAAGGAATAGCAAATTTTCAACAGAAACCTAGATTTCTAATTAGCAATGTTAAAGCTATACAAAAAGCCTCAGGACACTAGAAGTTTTGGACGCTTAAGTATTTTTACTTTTCACATCAGGTGGTTTAATTAAAATTAAACTCTATATAATTAGACATTGAACAAGAATGGCCGGAACTCCAATCCATAGGGAGAATAGACTACCAGTTAGACTCCCAAAGGACCCTTTCGCTTTTTGAAATTGTGATCAAACATAGGTAACATAAAATTTACCACTGTCACCGTTTTTTAAGAGGCATAAAGTACATTCATTTTGTCCTGCGGCCATCGCCACCGCTCACCTCCTCCCTTTGTTTTTATTCTTAGGCTCACCCATAGGGGGCAGCCGGAGACAACACACCAGCATCGCTCCCCTACGCCCTTTCGCCCACGCATGCGCGCCTCACCTGCTGG